TTCGGTATATTTTGCCTTGGTCATTTGTTTTGTCTTACAATTTGCATAGCAGAAAACAAAAATAAATGAGGTGAACTGATAGGAAATTGGAACAATGAAAAATTGGGAAGCAAGTAGAATAGTGAGGAGGGCTGAGATGTGTGTTCTGCAAGAGACAAGTGTGAAACAAGGGAGCAGACTGGACACCTATAGTTTGAGGTTTAATTCATGAATAACTCATATGTCCAATTCAATTTATGGAGCACTAATCATGTGCCCAAAACCTTGGGGATAGACACACCTCTTCTTTCCCAGAGCCCACATCAAATAGGAGAGAGAGGGGAAAGCAAAAATTTGCAGAAGTCTGATCACAATTGTATATTCAAGATTCAAAGATAGTAAAGGTGAGAAAGATCAATGAGGACTTGGGAAGGAGTTTTGAGAAAAACGAGAGAACCCATTGTATACACCCCCTCAAGGGCTAGGAGGCTGTGTGAAAAGTCAGAGAATTGGAATGGCAGGGTGGTCAGTTATTCCAGGTGAAGAAAAAGCCAAAGATAGTGACATAAAATACAGACCATCAAAGAACAGGATGAGGTCCCCAAGGTTGTCCAGGTAAAAGGGACAAGAAACTCTTGCTCAATTGTCTGCCACTTCTGGAGATAAGACTGCAAGCATTGCCTCATTTGCAAGGAAACAAAGATGGTCAGCCATCAAAGAAAATAATCTGACCTCACCTGCAACACTCTCATTTATCTGCAGAGAGAATTAAACCCTATGACTAGAGACTATTTTCTGAGATGAACCTGCCACTGAAATAAATTGTCTATTCAGTTCACTTAGATTTGCTTCCTTTAAAAGTTTGACTTTTTAAACTAAAATATTTACATTGTATTCTATTTTTTCTGTCACTCTCTTATTTAGGATTTTTTTCTTTGCTATAGATTTATTTGGATACATATACTTCCTACCAAACTGCCTTATTCTAGAGGCATGTCTTATTTATTTATTTATTGTTTGTTTGTTTGTTTGATACATGCACTGGGTACAGTCAGAAGCGCGGGAGGGTGAGAGAATTCACCAGAGCCAGAGCGGGGAGCAGAGCAGGCAGAAGGACCGAAGTACACTGCTGAGGGGAGCAGCGGGCGGCAGGAGAGGTCTGCGCGCCATGTGGGACCCTCCTCTGGTGGCCGGGGAGCAGCCTGGGATCGAACCGGCTGCAGAGGCTGCAGGCAGCTTCGCAACCCAGCGCTCAACCGCTGTGCCACCGGGGAGGCCCGAAACTGCCAGTTTTTAGCACAGAAATATATTGCCCAAAAGCACTTGCAGATATAGTTAAATCCTTCAGAGGTAAAGTGAGCCATGTATGTGTCCATGGCCTTCTATGGGGAGTCAGAGGCCAGATAATTCCTGAACATTGTGTTCAAAAAGGTAATGTAGTCAGAGGATAAATTATTTCAAACAATTTGGAAGGATAATATGGAAATTCTTATTTTGCCACAGTGTTATTTTTAATTATTTGCTAACGTTCAGGCATTAAGTTCCACTCATATTCAAAATGCCACCCTTCTTTGTAAAGTGACCGTTATAGCTATGTTATAATCACCACCTTAGAAAAGATTCAGATGACCCTGCCAGCTGGCTGGATCTAGAACAATTATTTGAATATAATATAGAAACACATATGTCACAATAAATAAAACATTATAAAACAAGAAATGAAAAAAATATATAGAAGGTTAACCTAGTGTCAACTAAATAGCTTTAATGATAAATAACTAAATTAAAACAGAAAATTAATTGTCTCCTTAGCTAGGTTTCATCTTCTACCTATTTCATTTTCTTCAGACCATGTGGATAATATGGCTTTGATCTAAAGTAATTGCAACTTAGTTCATAATTCCTATGAATGTGCTTTGTTATACATATTACATTAATACCTTTAAATTTTCACTGCTCTTCCTCTCTCTCTCTCTCTCTCTCTCATACACACACACACACACACACACACACACACAGAGCTTCCCCATAGGTAATTATTATACCTATGAATATAGCAATGAACATCTATTATGAGGAATTTCAGCTTACCTCCAAAATATCTTTTTATCAATGTGACACTTGAAAAACCAGATGTAATTTTATATAGCCAACTTTCCACAAGAATTTTTATAAATTCATAGTTTAGCCAATGGTGTTTACTTCAAAGGGAGGCCATATACTCCCAAAATGCGGGAGAGACACCTTACAAGAATGGTCTTGTGATCTTCCTTTTATATCAACTCTATAAAAGGTCTCTTTAACCCCTTGGCATCCAATTTCAAGCCCAGAGAGAAAAAATCAGTGTGTTAAGATTTGCTAATTCTTCCCAGGGACAACAAACAAGGAGGAAAAAGTTTTTTGGTTTTTTTTTTTTTTTAATGTCATTGTAAACATAGTAAATATGCTCCAGACTTGCAAAGTTTCTTCTATGAGACAAATAAAGGATTTGTTACTCTATGGACAGAAATGTCAGCCAGTGTTACAGAATATTTATATAGCTTTTTTATCTTTCTCTTTTTAGGTGCTAAAACAAAAAATTTCATATTCTACTGCTTTGATATAAATACCTCAACTAAAATTACACTTTACAAGTTTTTAGTCATCAAATAGGTGGAACATTCATCCCAAATAACTATATAAAACACAGTTGGAGGGCCTGCCTGGTGGCGCAAGGGTTTAAGCTCAGCACTATGAAGCTATTGCCAGGCACTGCAGCACCAGTTTGACCCCCAGCCAGAGCTAACTCACATGGCACAGCAGACCTCTCCTGTCTCTCCAGCTGCTCCCCTCAGCTGTGTATTTCAGTAGATCTGCCTGTTTTGCTCCCCACCCTGTCTCTGATGAATCCTCTCACTCCCCACACCTCTGGCCTTACCCTTACCCCAGTTCTTGTATGCATAGCTAAATAATTAAAAAAAAAACACACACACCTTGGCTTATATTGGGCCAGATACTGGGTTGACAAGGTTGCCGCAGAAGGGATAATGGCATTTATGGAGAAGAGACCTCCTAAAAGACTGGTGTCTCCTTCCTCATGGTGGGCCATGCCCAGAGCTACTCTTCTAACAGGTCAATTCTCCAAACACCAATTTGATGCTCTAAGCTTCTGGGGGAGAGAGGAGGCCCTCCAAGGGAATAGATGACTAAGGATCCCTGTCAGGACTTTCACCCCAAGACATATCAAAAGTGGGTCTAACAGTATTAATAGAGGGCGTGGAGTTTCTGGAACTTCTACAGAATTAAAACATCCTCTGGGCTTGAAAGAATTCTTTTATTTAAAGTTAGAAATTATGTAGCCTTAGAAAGTAAGGTTTTGGTAGTTTCATCACAATCAGACAAGGACAGACACACAGAGCGGTTGCTATACTCTCCTGTGACACTGTGGGTACATACAGCTGTCTTTCCTTCAGTGAGGCTGCCTTGTAATGCTTCTTCAGATTAGAATTTGAATTTGTACCCGAAAGTCACCATTTCCATTAAATTTGGTAAAGATATTTTAGGTAATTAGATCTTTTATATATTTTTTCAAAAACTGTCTGGTTCAGTTCCAAGGTTACCACCATTCCAGAAATGTTTATTGCTATCACTAAGAGATAGTATTCTAAATTAAAACAACAATGTTAAACAAGTCCCATCTTAGTGAATTTGGATACAGGTTTCTATCTCACTAAAATCGTCAAATTTATTTCCTAGAATGAGATCATCCTACCAACCATTTCCTCTTCTGTAAAACAAAAAACCAATTAAATTTAAAGGATGGAATTTAGAGCTATCTATATCTATCTCTCTATATATCTCAAATATAAACCATAGCTTGGAAATTATATGTTCTCCTTTTGTCCATTTACAAAAATTGAAATTGTTAATATTAGTTTCAATTTGGGTTTGGAAAATACATTTACCAGTCTGATACGATAATTATGATAAGAATGTGAAGATGCTAGAGAATGACACTGAAGCAGCCTTTCTATAAGCTGGACTTCCTATTCAAATTTAATCTGAGCATAAGGAAAATATAAACTGCTTACTTTCTAGCTTTCAATCTCAGAGGGTGTGTATTCAAGACATAGAATCACAGAATTTTAATGTTAGAAAAGGACCACGGAATTACCTTGTCTGATCTCCTCACTTTACATGTCAGAAAATTGAGGCCATTCTTTATATGCACATGCTGCCAAAACTAAAATTATAACTCAACTCACTACTTCTGTGAACACATTTAGGTTTTGAAGATGCCTGTTAGTACAAATGAAACCCCTTTTCAAAAGACTCAAAAATTTCTATTCCATGTGTCTTATAATAAATCTGAATTGTGTATCACTTAAGTAATGTCACCACTACTGAACTCAAACTTTTCTTTAAGAACCTATAACTTGAGTGAGAAATGATTATGCCATATGTTTTTTAAATACCTAAAGGACTTTGACAACTATTGCTATATTTAACATACAAATATTGGTTAGGAGAATAATTGCTCAGAATATTAGTGTGTCAAAGTAAACACAAGAAGTAAAACATGAAAATCCTCCTGTGCTAGTTTCCATTATTTAGTTGTACTTTGTGGTGTTTATCAGCACTTAGATTCATAGTGGTTTGTTATCATAGGATATTTACCTGACTTCTCACAAGAATAGGTACCACCCTTACAGCTTTCTATTCTGAAGGCTCTAAAAGCGTATTGGGTACGAGCCAATAGCAGCATAACTGAAAGGAAACCTACCATTAACTAAGACATTTCCAACCTGCATAACCACTTACACACTCCTCCTTCTCTTTCCACTTTAATTTAAGCTTATTTCACCACTGAATCATATGGTCATTTAAACTAAATGTTGCTGCTTGGAATCCACACAAGCATGAACACTTGCTCTCTCCCAGCATGCCCTCAGTCTTTCCCAAAAGTTCTTAGTCCCAGTAAAGCTACAGCTACAGTCTAAACATCTGAACATATAAACATCTGAACAGTCTGAACATCTTACCATCCAGATGGTCCACATAGCAGTACACGTCATAAGTTTCATGAGGAGAACGGTAGCCATAGGTCCTGACTCCTTGCTTCCCCATCATATCTCCATAACAGCCTACTCTGGGAGCCCGGATAGGGTATCTGGGGAAACAAAGGACTAGTAAGAAACACTTTCTTTTCATTCAGCAATTAACAAAGTAAGCCTGTGGTCCCTACAACTCTCACCTAACGCTCCGATCGGATAGCCAGCCTGCATCACACTGCTCAAATCCATCTTCGTAGGCAGCAAAGAGCTGTTCTGGGGTTGCTATGACTGCCCCAACATCCATACAAGCCTTCTGCGCAGTCTCAAAGGTCAGCGTGTACCTGCTGGTGGATGCCCGGTAGTGAAACACAACCCCTGTGAAGACAGCAGCACAGTTACAAGGACGTTTAAGTTCCCACCTCACTATGCAATATTTGTCATTGGAGCAATATATTCAATTAATTGCTAACATGGTAATAACATCATCCAAACATTTTCATCTTCTGTAGCATTGTGAAAAATCATGGTGTTTTGAGGAGCCCCAGAAATGTCATTCACTCAGATGCCCCATGCTGCTCCATGATGGAGTTTCTTAGCCAGGAATTTTCTACAAACAATCTAAGAAAAGACAGAAGCTTCTAATTCCCAGGTGGTGGATAGCTGTCCGGATGAAAGGCAGCTTTCAGGCTACATAGGAACCAAAGGAAATACAAATTGTTAAGGGAGCCAAAAAATTGACTTCTATTACTTCATGATTTGACCGAGGGCCAACTCAATAGAAGTCCATGGAACATTTCTTAATTCCACTTCCTCCAAATGTAAAACACTGAACTATTTACTTTCAGAGACCACATACTAAGATCGAAAAGACAATGTACGTGTGAGAAAGCTGTACCAGTCTCTAAGTTACTCTCTCATCATGTACAAGTCCTTAATCATATACTGAACCTCAATTTCCTCCCCCACAAGTGAACCTAATATTGCTTATGTTAGTCATTTGCTTAATGTGAATGTCAAATTAGTTAAAGGATTTAAAATATTGGGTAGGTTACTCTGTACTATCCAGATGTTATTTTTAAATATTCATGATTTCACCAGCATAACTTAGGGTCTCTGCTGTGGAAGATATATTGATTGACTTTTATACCGAAGAAGGCCTGAAAAACAGTTCTCCAGATTCCCCTGAGTATAAGCCAGGTATCCCAATATTTGCCTCTAATTCCACTTAGTTGTATTTTAGGAATTGCCCGAACTAGTGGTTCCTGAGCTGTGCTCCACGGCACAAGGAATTGTCAAAGGGGTGGATAAGAAGCAGATGAAGGATTGGGTCTTCTTCCACATCAACAAGGGCATCTCTATTTTTAAGTGAAGTAAATATGGTGACTCATTTCTACAAGACTGAAATGTGAGTGAAGCTGATGTGCTTGAGCCAACACTGAAAATAGAAAATAGCACAATGGGTTACTAAGGAGGAAATTTATAGAGTCATATAATTAAGGCCACTTTTCTTGTTAAATAGAATGAATTGTGATTTCTAAGACACCTTTCACTATCATTTTATTCCTAGTAATTTGCTAGGTTGACAACAGTCTATTGCTCAGTCTCACTTCTAAATAAAAGTCTGTCTTCCACAACTCACTCATAGATTGTCTCTCTCTTCAAGACAGTTATATCCCACAATGTCACTACAGGGCAACTGACTAGCATGTCATAGATAAGTAGTTCTGACTAGCATCAACACAAAATGACCTGCGATCTCACCAAGTAGATGTACTGACAACTTACATTCACTTTTCCATTTCTGACACTGCAAAGAAAATTTCATCAAATGCCTTTCAGAAAAATTTTATCCTTATAGTACTATACTAAAATGATCAGAAAGTAAATATGGTGCTATCTGGTATAAGAGGTAGCTCATAAAGGCTTAAGCAAGAATTTGAATGACTTTAAATTAATGTTATGCTGACCAAAGATCCAAACAGACTTCTTGGTAATTAAAAAATTTTCATGAGCACTGAAGATTGGCAGTCAGGAGACACAAAGGAGCCTCCATGACCAAGATATCAAACATAAATCTGTATAAATATCTGCAATCATTGCAATAATTTGAAGATGTCATGTGGCTAAGGAGATTAAGTGGAAGGTTTTCACTGTTTCAGGGGAGCAAAGGGAAAATACATTGCTAATTTCTCAGTGATGAAAACTGTAAGAATTTGTTAAACTTCTTTTAGGATTTAAAATAGATATATTCTATAAGTGTATATATCCTGTGTATTTAGCACCATATATGTAAGGAGAGATATAGAAGGACAGTAGGAGAAAAATATCAACAGGATAAAAAGATCTCAGTTTAATTAAAATAAATGATAAAAGGGTTATAGAAGAGCCAAGAGCCCAAGATATTTAGTGGATGCTTGGACAACATAAAAATAGATTTATATAAGGAAGCAATAGAATCTGAATATAAAAGGATGTTCAGGAAGTTAATTTGTAGCATCTGAAATGCAAAGAATTTCCTTTTGGCTAGACAAGAAAGAGTTTTAATAAAGCCCTTTGTATATATATATGAAAGGTAAATATTTTATAGGGAAATGGAGGGTTGTAAGAAACTCTGTTTCATCATGCCTGGTTATTAGAATTTTGCTTAATAACTTGCCAAAATATCATGCTTCCGAGAGCTATGTCATTAAGTGTGTGCCCAATTAAAGCAATTTTTTGTTGCTTTGTCTCTTAACTTAAATTCAAATGACATGGAAACCACCACTGAAAAGAGGATAAAGCTACAGTGTTTCATTGCAAAACCTAATGGAAAACAATTAATGTATCAAGCTTTAAAAATTTTTCTTGAATTCTTACTTTGAACCAATTCAAGTGTTTACTGAGTCCTGGCTGTTTTAAGGCACTGTGATATATACCATGGTATTTATTAAGTACCAATAAGTACCTATTTCTTCAATGAAAGTTAAAATAGAATTTACATTTCTTAAAAACAACCTCAAAGATTTATTAATTGTTCTAGAAGAATGAAAAAAGTGAAGAAAAGGATTTTGTGCACATGCGTGTATGTTTGTGTGTGTATTCATTCATATGTGAAAATTAAAACAAAAAGCAGATCATACTTTATAGTCTTGAAAAGCAACCAACGATAGGTCTCAATAATTTATAGTGATTCCCTAACTGTAAACCATGTCTTGAGTTATTCGCTATATCCACTATACTCTACTGCATCACCTCAATGAAAACTGCTACATAAAATGGCCCCTTCTTTAACCCCAAACTGTGTTTCATTTTTGGTGAATGAACATGGACTGTAGGGTTGATGGATGTTTTTTCCACCTTTCCAAACCCTGAATAATCATTTCTTTTGAGCACTGTTTTACAGCACTTCTGAATTAGGTATCATGTTATACCACTTTCTTACAGATTCTGAAAACCTTACCTTCCACAGCCAATGATACTGTGTCTTGTGTGTCTTCAATCCCATACATGACGTCACAGCGGTAGAGCCCTGCGTCACTCGCACGCACTTTGACCATAGTGAGTGAGGCGTCCCCCACAGCCTCAGGGTGTGTAGGCACTGACACTCTCCCTTTGAAACCTTGCCCGATCTTGATATTCCCATCTTGGGCCACAAGAACAGTAGTCTCCTTTAAATCTTTTCCATTTTTATCCACTTCCATCTTAGACCACTTGATTCGGAGAGATTCACTGGTGGTGTTATAACCAGGTGGTAAGGTAGGCATGGTTGAAAAATGACAAGGTAGGTTCACTTTTCCAGAGAGGAAACCCTTAACAGGTGGACTTTTTTCCACTTTAACTAGAGGAAAGAGAAAATACCAAATTAGCAGTGCTGTAAAACCCAAACTGAGTGTACTAAATATCTGAATGAATAAGAAACCCTTACAGAAGTTTAGTAACATCTTCAAATATGTCAAATAATTAATTTTATCTATATACAGAGAATAGTATACCATTTCAAAAATGTCTCATAACAGGCATGGATTAATCATGCTAATTTTTATGTACTAGAGTATGGCATTCATTTTAAGCATTTATAACAGTGTTTAACATAAATGAAATAAGGCAAGTATAGGGAAGCAAGCAATAAAAGACAAAAGGAGAAAGGCAGACTAGAATCAACAACGCAGATTGGGCAAACCCTCAGACACCAATGGTGGGCAGGTAAATTGATGCAGCCACTATGAAAAATAATAGGGACATTCCTCAAAATTGAAAATAGAACTACCATATGACCTAGCAATTCTGCTTCTGGGCATTTACCCAAAGAAAACAAAAACATTAATTCAAAAAGATATATGTACACATGTTCATTGAAGTATTATTCAAAAGAGCTATATGTGGAATAACCTATACCTACTTGCAGATGAATGGATAAAGCAGATGTGATATGCACACACACTGGAATACTACTGGGCTATTTAAAAAAAATGATGAAATCTTGTCATTTGTGAAAACATGGATGGATCTTGAAGGTATTATGCTAAGTGAAATAAGTCCTATGGAGAAAGACATCCAGCTTATTATTTAATTCATCTATGGAAGATAAAGAATCAAAAGCAAATGATCAAGCAAAACAAAAACAAACCCTTAGATTCTGACAACAGAATGGTGGTTACCAAAGGGGACGGGGAACAAGAGGGTGTGTGAGACAGTGGAGTGTAATTGAATTGTGGTGAATGGAAACTGTACCGTCAGTGACATGTAGGAGAGATATACACATCGGCATGTGAAGCTGTACATCTGAAACTTTTTTTTTTTAAGATTTATGCATGTATACAAGAACCGGGGTACAGGCCAGAGGTGCGGAGCGTGAGAGGATTCACCAGAGAGAGAGTGGGGAACAGAATAGGCAGATCCACTGAAATACACTGCTGAGGGGAGCAGCGGGCGACACAGGAAAGGTCTGCTGAGCCATGAGGGTTAGCTCCCTGGCTGGAGTGGGGATAGAACTCATGCTGCAGAGGCTGGTGCTAGCTTGATAGCACTGTCTTTAACCCCTGCACCACCAGGGAGGCCCCTACATCTGAAACTTATACAGTGTTGTAAACCAGCATTACTTCAATACAAATTAAGTAGACAGACAAACGAGGCAGATAGATACTGTGACAGGCCGGATGCAGCCTAAATGCATACATTAACAGAATAGTGAAGAAATGTATAGCACAGCCATAAAGTGGTTTATTGTGTAGCCTTTAAAAATGCAATTTATTGGGCCTCCCTGGTGGCACAAGGGGTTAAGATGCAACCTATGAAGCAATCTACAGCACGAGTTCAATCCCCGGCCAGGGATGAACCCACATGGTGCAGCAGACCTCTCCTGCCTCTCCTGCTGCTTCCCTCAGCAGTGTATTTCAGTCGATCTGCCTGTTCTGTTCCCCTCTCTGTTTCTGGTGAGTCCTCTCACTCCCCACACATCTGGCCTATACCTCAGTTCCACACCTCTCGCCTGTACCCCAGTTCTTTTATGCATAAATAAATAAATCTTTTTTTTATAAATGTAATTTATTAAGGGTCTCTGGCATAAATACAAATGATCTTAGTTGTGTGAAGAAAAAATTGACAGAAGGAAATATGGTAAAAGGCTGGAATCATCTCTGAATAGTGAAGTGAAGGACTTTTTAAATGTTTCAGCATATTGTTTCTTTATCTTTTAAATTCTAAACATCACTTTGATAATTAGAAGTTGTGAAGTAGAAAAACATTCTTTAAAAAATAGAAGGGCATATGTTCCCACCTCAGTGTTAAATGGCAGGTCAGACAGCAGAGAAAGCAGGTGGGTAGGTGGTCTCAGAGAGGGTGGGAGCACAAGGGTGGTCTGGTGCTGCCAGGAGGAGTATTTTATCATTGACATTGTTTAGAATGGCTGGTGTCTAGTGCTTATAAAAAACTGACTTCTTATTGAGAAAAAAATGCACGTTTGAAAAATTGCAACAATGTTAGCAAGCAGTTGAAAGGTGAAATTTATGTCTAAGGGTCTGAAAACAAAAATGTTAAGATAATGGCTACATTATATAGGAGGAAATGAAAATAAAATTCAAGGAGGAAGTAAAAGGAGAGAAAGTATTTCAGAAGATTGGATCACTGAGCAAGGAAACACTACCTTTTCCTTATATCTGGGTGGGGAGGGTTAAAAGAAGTTGATTTCTGTTCACCTAACTCTCCTAAAATATTAATCTGCAAAATGTCATTCTGCTTAAGCCCTTAGTTTTAATAATAAATATATTGACTACAATTTAACACTACCACATGAAAAAAAAAACAAAAACTTTCACTCTTAAAGGACTCTGTATCCCTGCCCCACATCTCCCATCTTCCAGTCTCTACTAATTGGCTATTCAATGTGTTGTAAATAACAATAGAACATATTATCAATTCTCAAACAATTCCTACTTTGTGAAAATATGATAAACCAGGTAAGAATAGCCTCTACATGAGAAGAAATAATGAGTCTTAATGAATAAAATGATATGTATCCAACACAGATAGTGTGTTAGCCACACATTAACAGATAGATATTGTTTTTTTTTTTTTTTTAAATATTAAATTTTATTTTTATATTCCCCCATACAATTGCAAACGCCCCATTCTGACCCCAATCCTTCCCTCCCGCCCCCCACACCCCAAAAAGTGTCTCTGGTTCATAGTTTTTTGTTGATTTTGATTTTCACTTTCTTATATTCATTTTCCTGGTCCCTTATTTAAGTTTTCTAGATTCCTGCTATGAGTGAGACCATCCGGTATTTTTCTTTTTCTTTTTGGCTTATTTCGCTGAGCATGATCCCTTCCAGTGCCATCCATGTTGCTGCAAATTGCATGTGTTTATCTTTTTTGAATGCTGAGTAATATTCCATGGTATATATGTACCACATCTTCTTGATCCAGTCATCTATTTTTGGGCATTTGGGTTGTTTCCAAAGCTTAGCTATTGTAAACAGTGCTGCTATAAACATAGGAGTGCAGGTGCTCTTTGGAATTGATGTTTAACAGATAGATATTGTTAACACACATTTCAATATGAATATTCATCTAAATATTCAGAAATGATACAGCTGTCAGTGTAGCCCTGTAGATTCCATTGGGCATAATTTGTTTTGAAAATTACAATAAGAACTTATGAAACTTCTACATATTTTTTAAGGAAAAAAAATACCCTCTATTGCTAAAGATTGGAATTCAATTTCAAAACACTGACATGTACAATATTTCACAGGATACAAATAAATCTAATAACCAACACAGTACAGTGCTTATGATAGAAATAACTAATCTACTTCAAATTTATAATGCCCATTGCTGTCATGTGTTTATCATTACTAATCTATAGAGTTATCCAAAATAGGATTTAAGGCACTTAACAAAATTAAATAAAAATAAAATGAAGTGTGCTATTAGCTGCACTAAACTAATCTTTAAAATGCTAAGATTATTAGTAACTCAAAAATAAGTAGCAAAATGGAATGGAATGCTTGCCTTAAAAAATAAATTCTCTTACTGAAGGTTCACCTTCGGAGTGAGTTTGCTCCAACCTCTTACTAAGGATTCCCACTGACAGAAAGTGGCCGTCAGTTCACCAACTGGATGGTGATAGACTTGGTCCAGAGCCCATATTCCTTAACACCTAAGCAAAGAATCTTTCAGCTTTGGTATTTATTGAATTGATCTCCTGTGCCTATCTTAAATCACATAAGAAGTCTCAGTTTTAGTTCCTTTTTGAGTCTAGACTCCTAATTCTACCCCACACTATTTCCTTAATTTGCTTTTCTTAACTGTTAGTAATTTTGTGAACTTTAAAATAAATCTACACTATGGAGGGTATCCCTGGAAAGCAATCTTCACCTATTTCATAGTCCTCTAATTTGGACCCCACTAGGGAGATGATAACAACACAAAATCACCTTACACATTTCTCCCACCAACAGGGGACCTGGGAATCCTGTGTTCTAAAATCCTCCCAATTTTTACTCATCATATGATCTAAGAAATTTTATTTTCCTTCCTGAAGATGTCTTTAGATGATTAACTAGGCCACAAATAAAACACTGTTTTTTCAAATGGAGAGTAAACAGATTTACTATCAGCCTCAATTATGATATAAATTATGAGACTGTTTATCTTCTCCTTAAAATGAGCTGAAGATACACGACTCTCAAGTCCTTAATATTTATTACAAAATTATATATGTATTAATAGTTCTTTTCACAATTTTAGAAGTGTAGGGACAGATTTGAGATTCAGTCCAATCTATCTGATTGGGAGGTTCCTGAAACATAGGGCATTGTTCAGGAATTGTGTTGTAATAAAAATATGTATTGGAACAAAATGATGTCAAAAGGCAATATTCCCAAGGGTTATTTATTGTTCTGGATGTTTAAAGATATTAAGAAAATTAAAAGCTTCAGTTAGGGATAAATAAATAGTCATGCAGAATTCAGTCTTAACAAGATTAACAAAAAGCTGTGTGGTCAAGTCTTTTGTGTATGAAATCTTGAGTCTTAATGCATTGGGGTCACAAGAACTAAGTTCACTAAATATAAATATTTTAAGAAAGTAATTTAGTAGTTCAGAAGATGTTTATAGACTACACATGTTAAAAAGAAAAAAAAAAAAAGCTACCTGAAAGAATTTGTCTGAAACTCTGACAATGCAAGTAATAAAAATAAATGTCAGCAAAATGTTCATTGTTGCCATTAGATGGTTTATGGTCCAAGTGAGTCGCAATCAGGGAACAATCTCTAAATGTGAACAATCAATTTCACTCCATTCTCAGTCAGTTAATTCTGCAGTGCAAGGATGATATAAATTCTATCTATACAATTTGACCAAATACATATATACAGAGACCTTGACCAAATACATGATAGATAGAGAATACTGGAATTTCTCAAGAAGGAAGTATTACTCTCGTTTTATTTACTCATGACTGTACATGGCTCCATTTATTAATATTAGAGGAATATCCAAGTCACTAGGTCAATGCTAGATAATCAATATAATAGACATTGTTAAAGCAAAGAGCTCCCCATGCATTACAGTAAAGGAAAAAGCAATAGGCAACATTTTCACTAATGTTATTGACCACGGAGTACCTAGGAATAAAGAGAGAAAAACTTAAGAGGAAAGTACTGGTACTGAACTCAGCAACCAGTTACCCCACTGGGAACTCAGTAAATCTGTTTTATCTGCATATTATATTTTTAAATTTTGTCTCATATGACAAAAAATTCTTCTGAAATGACCCCCAACTTGTTACATATCTTGTAGTTACATATCTAGTAGTGATGACCAAACTACAAAGAACTTGATTCTTGGTGTACAAAGTGGTTGAGACCAGGGACTATGGAGCACCTCCTAGCTATGTCACTACATTGTGCCTGATCTTCTATATCAACTATCCCTCCAAACCTTTGGGTAGTTTCATTTCCTCCTCTGCCAAGTGGGGAGAATAAAAGCATCTGTTTTATCGGAGAGGACAGATGAGAGGAAAGGTGAGATTAAATAAACTATGTAAAATACTTAAAGCAAAACCAACCACAAACAATTACTCAATGTTTTTAGCTATTATTACTGTTCTAAAATCCTCTCTGGGAGATCTAACAGAAGTATTTTAGTTTTTCCTCCCTTTCTGTGTGAGTCTTTTTTTTCAAGGGAAAGTCTAAATTTTGTTTGAATGAATGGGTAGCTGCCCTTTCGCTCAAGTTTCTCCACTACTTTCTCTGTAATTCCCCTCCTGTTCCTGCCCACACAAACCAACTTTTTGGTTTTCTGTATCTTTCTTTTTATGTCTCTTTTCAGTGCATGCTGATGTCCTTTCCTGTCTGTGACCTTCACCTTTACTTGCTGAAAATGCTGGAAAAAATCACTCATAGGAAGTTAACAGACTCTGATGGCATTCATAAATGAGTTTACTTGCTCAGTCACTAATTTACGAAATACATGAAATTTAGTTTAATGCTCTCAGTGCATGAGGCCCTCTGCTAGGAAATGAAGGCAACTTCTTGCAGCCTACAGTCTGCTTGGGGAGAAGAAAAAGGAATAACTTGCCACGGCAGTGTTATGGGCTATCATAGCTGTAACAGCACGCATACATGGAGAGGGAGCTGTTAAATGGGCCAGAAAGGAGAATGGAGGCAAGGAAGGTGAGCACCTCAGAAGTCAGCTCATCCTTGATTCCTCTCTTGCCCTCTCCACATCATATCCAACCCTTTATTTAATCTAAATCCTCCATCTCCACATACCCCGAGGACGTCTCTCTGGTCCCACTGCCACCATCTCTCTCTGTATCGTCTCCTTCCCTCTCTAACTATGGCGACCTTTCTATTGCTCAACACACTTCATTTCCTCGGAACTCAGGGCCAGACATTGGCTGGCCAGCTTCCCTTCATCACTCATATCTCAGTTTAAATGAGACTTTCTCAAAGAGGCCTCCCACCTCCCCTAGACCAGAGCATTCTCCACGATCTCACTCTGCTTTATTTTCATGAATTTGAAAGTATCTGGACTGTCTGTTGCCTGTCTCATGTAACTAGGAGATTCATTTACAGGAAATCCATAGTCCACAAATCTGGAATTATAACATCCTCATTGTTATAAAGCCAAAAAATAAACAAAAATAAACAGTACAGGACACTTACCCATTTGAGAGAGAGAAAGAGAGAGAGAGAGAGATGGGGGAAGAGATAGGAGGAAAGGAAAAAGGGGAAGTAAAAGGGGTGGACAAGGCAGAGGCGAGGACACAAAAACTTGGCTACCAGCCTTCTCTGAATCTTCTTGACCCTTCAAACTCTAGTCTCCAGAAGTTTTGTCTTTCTTTTTTTTTTATATGAAAGTCTTTGAGTAGTATAGAAGGTGGAATTTTAAAGTACGCCATATAAAAGCCTTTTTGCACAGTCTGAAAAGAATCTTGGAAGTTACTGAAAACCCCCTTGGCTCCTTCAGCATCCCTTTCATTATTTTGCTTTAATTTGTTTATTTACTATGATAATTTTCAGCCCAATATTTTATTATTTTTTTTTTTTTAAATAGAGGCATGTTTATTTATTTATTTATTTGTTTGTTTGTTCTGTTTACACATGCACTGGGTACAGTCAGAAGCGCGGGAGGGTGAGAGAATTCACCAGAGCCAGAGTGGGGAGCAGTCAGCCCAATATTTTAGTTAGGAGTGTTTAGCACCAAATAGATCAAAAATTAACTCTTTATTCTAGTGATTCTAACCCTAGTACTTACACGTTTATTTCAATTATCACCAAGGAAATTATTTCCACACTCACCATTTTGCAGCGCATGGGTTGCTATTAAGGTAGAACACATCCACAAGATGCTCTTTATATTTATCAACATCTTGTCCTAGAAATGAATAAAAGTACAAAGTAAATAATAAGCATTCAAGTTTGTGGCAGGTCATAAACCACACACTATTTATGCATTGTATGTAATGAGAGTGTAAGACGCAGCACTTCTTGGATCATAAAAACAGGAGGGAACATGCAATAGGAGTTGTCCCAACACTTTAATTATTCATTTGAATTTCACCCAATCTGGTAGTTACCAAAATAATTCCAGAACTCAATTTGGGACATATAACAATGTGGATTTGTGGGGCAACCACAATTGAATAGGCTGTAGGAAGAACAATAAAGACCACAGCCTAAATAACTACTGGCTAAGAGCTGGCACAAATTGGGGAAGGTGACCACAAAGTCTATTTAGAAACAGGAAACTGGTCATGAATGGAGCAAAAGAAGATGGGGAACAACATCGAAAGAAATTGAAAGAAATCTGCTTCAAATGAGAGGTGGGGAAGAATTTGTTGGTGGCTCATACACAAGCTCAAAGCAGAGAATAAGCACCTCGGCAGACTTTTTAAAGAAAAGACTTCAGTTTAGTTTCTAAAAAACTGAATAAACAGGGCCTCCCCGGTGGCGCAGCGGTTGAGCGCTGGGTTGCAAAGCTGCCCGCGGTCTGCGGCGCCGTTCGATCCCCGGCTGCTCCCTGGCACCGAGGAGGATCCCACATGGTGCGCAGACCTCTCCTGCACCTCAGCAGTGTGCTTCAGTCCCTCTGCCTGCTCTGCTCCCCACTCTGGCTCTGGTGAATTCTCTCACCTTCCCGCGCTTCTGACTGTACCCAGTGCATGTATAAACAAAACAAACAAACATAATAAATAAATAAATAAATAAAACATGCCTAAAAAAAAAAAAAAAAACTGAATAAACAAAATAAATGTATTAGAGGGAACTGAGAAAAAGAGTTTGCTATGAATTTTAAAGCAGTTCCAATGGTTTTAAGGTCTGAAGGATAGAGAATGAAAAAGAAAAAAGAAATACCTGCATGAGTCAAGAAACCTTGCCTAATACAGCCAAAAGAGTTTTGCTGTTAATATATTGTGTGACCTTGCAGAAAACATATAACCTGACTCTCAGAATGGTCCCTTACAGATGGAATTTCTCTAAAGTTATAATTATAAAAAGGATGAGTACCAGTGTTGGGGACCCTCTAGAAATCAAAAATCTGACCTCAAAAAAAAAAAAAACCCAAAGAAACAAAAATCCTGCAGAACATTATTTGAGCTCCACAGATGGTCCCTTTTCAGCTACATTTCATACCATTCTGTAACAGCCATTGTTGGTTGGCTAGCCAGTAGACATTCCTCTTTCTTCTTTCTGAAAAAACTTTGATTCGTTCTAGCATATTCCTTCCTTTACAAAGTCACAGGCTTTATAGGAGCAACATTATTAAACCTTAGCCCAGGAGATGATCCTGACCCCAGGGGATGATCATCCCCAGGGGATGATCCTGATTTTCTTAAGTCAATTACACCTGTCCCATTCCTTTTAACAATGATTAGTTTGGGAATAAGTACTGCCATTATGTCCAAAAAAGATGTGAGGGGAACTCTGAAAGGAGTAGGGGAGTATTCCTGGGAAGGATATATTTATCTAAGAAGAGATGCAAAGAGGTGGTTACTTTCCTTCACTGGGCTTTGTTATGATAGGATATTTCTCCTGAAAGTGTTGTAGTACCTTCATCCACCAGGTATAAGATAGTCTCCAGGGAGAAAGTTGACAAAGATTTAGGAGAGATGGGGCTTATATTCTCAATCATTAGACTTACACCTTTCAACTTCTTTTTTATATGAGATAATAAATTCTCTTATTATTTAAACCCGATAAAATCAGGGCTTTCTGTTTCTTATCACTGAAAACATATTAAGTGATACATATGTGAGTTGGTGTCCTAAATGACTTCCTAGAATCTTGCTTAGAAAATATATAAATTCTGTACTATTTAGGAAAAAGTGGATTGAAGAGTAAATGGTATAAAAACAATCCAAGTCCAATTTCGTAATTTATGACAGTCATTCCTTTTGTCTTGATGTTCTCTATTTGGATTCTTTTTTTGTATATCTTGAAATAAATATTAGAAGGGTTCTAAAACAAGTTATAAAATTATACACAATTCTCAATTAGTGTTTTTAATTATAATATAGAGCTCTCATTTTCCACATACATGTCACTTGACATTTATTAAAAGCATAGAGATAATACTAAATTAATCTTATTAACCTGATAATAGTAAATTAACCTTGATAATTAATTTAATTATTTTTCATAGAATTATGGGATATGCTAACACATGTTATTAAACACTAACTGGAAAATTAAGTCTCTAAATTTCTGGGCTACTACAGATACCACAGCAAGCAGGAAGGATACACTCATACTTCAATGTCATTACAATATTTCAGAGAAAAATAAAGATATCAGTTTCATATATTTTATAGTTTAAAGTTCCCAAACAAAATAAAATTTTAGGTTGTATCATAAAGTGGTAATAAAGAAAATGTGTTCATTAATATTAATTGATGCAAGTAAGAAACCTTTTTGTAATTATCCTTAAAACAACAGTTTTTATCAGCCTTCAAGGAAAAAAATGTTCTCAATTTTTTCCATGAAACGTTTATAGGCAGAATATTAAAAATATGAGCTTTAGCTGTCAAATAGTCCAGAATTCAAGCTCTACATACTCTACTTACATGCTGTGATTCTGGGTAAGGTACTAACTTTCTCACTTTCACTTTCTGTCACTATATAATAGTGAAAAATTAGTACTTAATTGCTAGAGTGATGGTGACAACTGATAAAATTATATTTAACTCACTGATATATGGTACATTCAATACTCAATATTGTATTAAAAATACTGATATAATCTTTCTGTAGGTGTTCTCTTCCTGGTTTCAGATCACTAATAGCAAAAAAAAAAAAGAATATGAAGCTCTTAAATTTGAAAATGATAACATAGATTACCATTATAGTAGTAGTGTATAAATTTATGCTTATAATATATTGCCCTATAATCTATTGCTATGTGATTTGATTCATTATGTATAAACATGTTTTCTCTTCTTTGTAGAACAGTAGGCTTCTGGAAATCAGAGCTAGTATCGTATTCAACTTACTAATTCCCACAATATTTCTTGTGAGAAGTGTCAGGGGGCACCATCATTCAAGGAACATTCATACACCAAAGGTGTGACCAATGCCTGTACTTGCTACTCATAAAAATGCTTAGAAGCAAGGGCATCCCTGGCAGCCTAGGGGTTAAGTCTCAGCGTGACCACCACTGCAGCCTGAGTTCGATCCAGCCAGGGAGGTGACACATATGGCACAGCAGACCTCTCCCGTCTCACCTCCTGCTCCCCTTAGCAGTGTATTTCAGCAGATCTGCCTGTTCTGCTCCCCACTCTGGTGAATCCTCTCACCACCCACACCTCTCTCCTACACCCCAAGTCTTGTATGCATAAATAAATAAAAATAAATCTTTTTTTTAAGATTTATTTATTTATTTATACAAGTACTGGGTACAGTCAGAAGCGCAGGAGGGTGAGAGAATTCACCAGAGCCAGAGCAGGGAGAACAGGCAGATTGATGAAGCACAGTGCTGAGGGGAGCAGCGGGCGCGGCAGGAGAGGTCTGCGTGCCATGTGGGACCCTCGCCCGGTGGCCGGGGATCGAACCGGTGCTGCAGAGGCTGCGGGCAGCTTAACAGCCCGGCGCTCAACCGCTGCGCCACTAGGGGAGGCCCTAAAAATAAATCTTTTTTAAAATGCTTAGAAGCAATGTGCCAACAATCTCTTATGAATATGGGCAAGCCGACAAATTAACACCTCAAATACACATAAATTATTTCAGCAAAATATTTACCATAACTCAATAATATCTGATGGTTACTATCTAGAGTTTCAGATCTCATATCACAACCAGAACAAAAGGTGTGATCTTAAGCCATGAGTGGTTGTTCTGAAACCTAATTTCCTATCCAAAACAGATACTCAGTCTAACTCTTTGTGCCATACTTCATCCTTATAAAAGTGTCTTTCTAGGGGCCTCCCTGGTGGCGCAAGGGATTAAGATACAACTTCGAAGTTGTCCACGGACTCTGCAGCACGAGTTCGATACCCAGCCAGGGAGCAATACATATGGTGCAGCAGACCTCTCCAGACTCACCTGTTGCTCCCCTCAGCAGTGTATTTCAGTCAGTCTGCCTGTTGTGCTTCCCACTCTCTCCGGTGACTCCTCTCACCCCCCACACCTCTGGCCTGTACCCCAGCTCTTGTATGCATAAATAAATAAATCTTTTTTTTAAAAAGTGTCTTTTTTTATTGAGGGAAGTATGGAAATGTCTTCATCTATATTACAAGTATACTCATCACTTATCAAGACTGTCCGTAAGAAACGTTAAGGAAAGAAAGTTAATGCATTGAAAATACAAAGACAAGATCAGTAAATTTTTAAATATATTTGCATAAATATCTTCGAAAACACTGCCAGCATTTAAAAATTGTAGTATTCCTCAGGAGGGGAGGAGGGGGAGGAAAGCAGGGGAGAGTAGAGAGGAAGGAGGGAATGCGGGCACTTCCACTTCAATAGTGAGAAAACTATGGCGACTGAGCCCCTGAGCAGAGAAATCCCGTATTGTAAAAAATAAACAAGGATGTTTCAAAACAAAAATAAAAATTATAAACAAGTAAATAAATAAATTGAAGTGTTCAACCTAGGACCCAAGTCTCTGACTTCCTTTGAAAAACCAGATGCAGCAACTCTAGGTCTATATGGTAGTTGGCCAATCAACAGTGAGCCAACAACAGCCTCTACACTCGGCTCTATGTTCAAGGTTATCACTGGCCCACGTGGCCTTTTGTTCATTCCCACTCCATGCCTGCTCCTTGTAGGCACTTGAATTCACAACCCTTGATTTATATTTTTAAAAATTTAATTATTTATGCTTACAAGAGCTGGGGTGCAGACCAAAGATGTGGGGGTGAGAAGATTCACCAGAGACAG